GTTTAGAGTAGGCTAAGAGCTACTCTTCGAATGTTAGATCCGATTATTGAAATACTTCTTTCACTGGAGGCAGACAATGGCTTCATTTCAGGGGTATATCAGTGGCCCTGGTGGCGACGGTGTCATGTAGCGGACAGGGTGACGTTGGCAGAGCTGAAAGGATAAGAGGAGAACTATTCAGATTAAGATGGTCAAGGCCAGGCACTAGCTAGGATTGCAGCAAATTTGCTATCGTCTGTGTCACCTACGACAACGTTACACCAAAGTGCTTCTGCGGCTAGTGAGTACAAAAATGCTGGAAATATGTTCACGGTAATGCAATGGCTGTTGTGTTCATACTTGATTCAGCTATGAATGTCGACAGTTTCGCCGGCGTTGTTGACGAAAACGTAGTTTATCAAATATGCAAGCTTGCCGTCGAAAACGGTCTATTAACCCTTGTCAGTATTGCCGCTAAGGTTATTAAGTTTAGTTTATGATACATGAGGGGTGGTGAACAATTACGAAGAAATGAGCCCAGAAGCATGTCCTTAAGCACACAGAACAAGAAGAAGTATCCACTTCTCAAGGAGATAGAAGCGATTGTCTTTGTGATACTGATACCTGGGCAGCAAGTGAAAGGGCCTGGAGTATATTTGATCATATTCATTAAAAAGAAGAAACGGACTTTCAGGCGAGCAAGTCTAGATGCTTACATACGCTAACATTAACTACGGTACAATTATGAGCGATGGCATCGATCCCGCACGACATTAATCCCCCCCTCATAAAGTGTCGAAGTCGATAATAACAGGGATAATATATAAATGCCGCTTGCAGCTCATCGTCTTTGTTGCATATTCCCACTGGGTGCCTTCCATAAATAGCATAAGCACGTGTCATATTTGCAGCAGATATGTCAAAGTTTAAGATGACATAAATTCTCGTGAGACGTATATTTGGTCTCACGAGACGCACCTACCCCTATATTAATGTCGTGTAGCCATCTTAAAATTTAATATAGACATTTGTAAACTTTATGTCGACCATCACTCTGATAGAAGTCAGCGATTTAAACTCTGGCATAAAGCTTCGCAACTTCAAGTTGGCCATCACTTTCGATTTCTGCCAGAGGCGAGAAGAGGTGGGTGACAAGCAGTGAAGTTTAAGTGTTGTTAGGTAACGCTCATGTATGTGTCTACAGGAGACATGGTGCATCTAAGACACCCCGGACTGCACTGGAAGGTTCGCTGCATGCTTGACAGCGACGACGAGAATACTCCTCCAAACGTCATGCAGGGCAGGGCATCGCCGGAGACCAAGGAAGTACCCGATAGCCAGAGCACAGAGTCCGATCTGGCGTCGTCAGGGTCTGCTACACCTCCATGGTTATCGCCCGGGTTCACGGATCGCGTGCCGAAGGACAAGTCGAACTTGCCATCATCGCAGGATCTGAGTGCTGCAACTCGCAGTCCGGTTAGTCGTCGTTTACCTGCCAGTCCTACGACAAACTCCCCGTTGCTTTTGGAGACTCATCCACGCTCTCCTATGCGACTTGCAGCACGTTCGAAGACATCTGCGGCTCGCCATGGGCGTCGTGAACCCGCTGAAGTGCATCTGGCCCATATGCTCCGCTTAATCGCGAACTGCTTGTGCTCAACGAGAACGGGTCGTTGGATCTTCGCCAGAGACCCCCCGTCCTCTGCCAAGGAGGTCTACGGTGCCTACACTCCAGCTGTTCAAGCCTGCGCGGTGGCCAAATCGTGTTATACACTTCCGCGAATCCTATAACCCTTCGTACATTCGATTCCCGTACGTGCCGCACTTCGGCTGGTGTACATGCTCATCGCCGTGCCGGGTTGGTGTCTGTCGCAACACGCTCATGGATGTATTCTGTTACGTCAACACCAGCCCATTTGAAGGAAAGTGCGATAACGGCTTGGCAGAGTCTCCGAAGGTATTCCTGGGGCGCAACGTGCGTACATCATCGCTGGCGATGGTTGCGGCGGAGGTCATCGGCGTCGGGGAGGTGATCGGGCAGTATCTCGGCGACAGTGTCTCGCGAGCTCGGCACCCGCGGAACAAAGGATATCGATTGGTAATGAAGCAACGTCCAGAATCTCCGGCTCACCGCGTTCAAGTCGCAATAAATGCAAAGACCATGGGGGGCGATGCGGTTCGCGAACCACTCGTGCCGGCCGGTTGCAGAGTTCCTGGAGGTCAGCAATGGGCGACGAACGACGGTCGTGGTTGCGACGACAGAGCGCGTCCTTCGCGGAGAGGAGGTCACCGTTAGTTATGGGGACGACTTGTGGCTCGTCTGTCGCGGTGGCCTCGATGAATGTGTCCACAGAGACATACAAGACAAGCAAGATCCTTGAGCCAAGTCTCGACGAGGCGAGGTAGCAGGCCGCCACGGAGAGCGGGTCACGGACTCACAGGGGAGATGTAGAGGCATTGGACCTTCCGTAGGTACGAAACTCCAGGAAGACGGCACTCAATCAAGATTTGTTGTTCATGTTGATGTTCTCTATTTCTAGTTTCTGCAAGGTCACACTCGGTACGACCTGCTTCCGCGGTATTCGGTTGGTTTTGGAGAGCAACGTGGTTGAAGATGGCATATGGCCTTCGAATCACAAGTTGGACACTAACTAGGCGCAGCAATAGGTACGGAAGCCGGTACACGAAGTTTCTCATTCTGCTTCTTGCCAAAGCCGAGCAAGTCCACGTCGTGAGTCCCCACGCCACTAACGGTGGTTCTAACGATCGCGAAGGTGTCGGGTAGCGCAAACTACAACATTGCAGAGATCTCCCGCTTGCTGAATCTCATTGTAGACATCCTTCCCCTTGGTACGGACGAATGGGAGAAGCTGGCGGGCTTCTACAATGGAAGTAGGATGTGTGGGTGGCCGGAGCGGGAGTTTGACAGCCTACGGCGAAAATGCAAGGTGCTCTACAGCACAAGGAAGCCGATTGGGACTTCTGAAATGCCGCCGCACGTCAAGCTCGCTAAAGAGCTAAAGAACGCCATCGACGACAAGGCCAGTGTCGTTGTAATGGATGACGGGGCCGACAACGAGGAAGAAGACTTCAGAGAGGATTTCGCTTTCGACGTCGAGCCTGATGACGGCTCATTTGCTGTTGGCGGCAATTCTTTAAAGTCTGTGGGGTTCGGTGTTGTGGCTGAGAGCTCTGCCAGTCCGGTGAATGCAGATGGGAGCTTTCAGGGCACCGAAAACGCGCCGACCTCTGGGGATTCCAAGATATGCTTCCCTTCATTTTACTTCAGAAAATCGGAGCGAGAATATTGGCAACGTACGCACTTCAGCATCGTCGCGGACCGGACCTTAGACTCGAGCGAAGGCTCGGGGGCCCACAAAGCTCTCTAAAACGACTGAAACTCAGACAAAAACGTATGTGGCCCAAAACCGATCTGCTGAGTTCCAGGCTGCCTCAAATCGACTTGGAGGAGTGGATCTAACCACGTTGCGCGACGAAACGGGCTCCAAGTCCGCCATGGAAGGAGACAAGGAGATCATGGAGGCAAGTTTCGCGAAATTAAAGAGGATCCGAGCCGCTAAAGCGACCACGGCGCTTAAATCCAAGCTGGACTTGCTAGAAACAGCCTCGAAAATGAGCGGAGGGAGTATGCTAGAAACAATTTTGAAACTTCGCGAAGAGACCGAGCGGAAGGCGGAAATCCGCCGTGCGGAAGAGGATCAACGACGTCGTGGCGATGCTGCAACCCAGGAGACACGTCGCCTCGCGGACAAGACGGAAGCTGAAGAGCGCCGTCGTCAAGACAAGATCGAGATGGATGAACGAGCTCGCCGTGACAAGGAAGAAGCCAGAGCTCGCACGCAGGAGCTCATCTTGCTCATCGCGAGCATCAACAAGAAGCCCTAAGGGCCATCGGAAACCAAAGAAGGCGGCAAAAGTCCGACACCTTCGAAGTGACGTCGTTTTTACCTGTAGGATCTCTATAACGCATTAAAAATACTTTTGGATGTCAAATTACTAGCATGGTCACGTATCGAATCGAAGCATAACTCAAAAACTTGAGAAGGTTTACTAAGAAGCAGTTCTCAGTCTAGATGCCAATCATGTTCAAAGTAAACTAAACAATTCGGCCTTACAAAGCTACCCCTTCATCCATAACACCCGAGAAAGTCGTACGTATTTGCGAGATCCCGACAGTCCTCACCCGGTAGTTGGTAAGGCGAAACAAATTGTCCAGCCTCATACCGCGCAGCTGTGAATCGTAGGGGAGCGGCAAATTAAGCCGGGAGTATACCTTCTGTATACTCTTCATGCCCCATTCAGCTGCTTGATGCACTGAAGTTATAGCATTATGAAGGTTGCGTGCTTGACGGTGCAGGGCAGGGTGAATTCGCTCTAAGTCGCCGTCCTTCAGCGGCGTTAAGATGCGTCCGACCATCGTTGTAGAGCACGGAAAGGCAGAATCGGACACGACATTCTTTCTCGCATCTGGGCACAACACCGGGTCCAGGAGCTTCGACCGAAATTCCATGGAGGTGTCCGAGTCGTTCCAGGACCCAGGACAGCTGTGTTTGCACCAGATTATACATCCATCAGCCGCGAAACAAATGGTCCCGTAACAAATACTGTGTGCAGCCACCCGTTGTACATCGCGTTCTGTAGATCAGCGTTGGATGGCTGTTGCACCTACTTTGATAGCATTGGTAAGATATTCGAATTAATACACTTTGTAAATGCAAACATGTACGCACTCGTATGTTTTTACCGTTGATAAACCAAACGTGTGGTGAAGAAGATGTTCACGGGCTTCTACCAGCCTCGACAGCTTGACTTGATGGCCTGGTGACGGCCAGGATATGCGCGCAGGAGCCAAATCATGTAGCGCCTTGTTCAACGACTCCTCCGCTTTACGTAGTGTCCTCGATAGCGTGCTGGGAGGAGCTCCAAAGAGCATACAGAGCGTCGTTTGCTCCATCGAGCTAGTGTAGAGCACTGATACTAAGCCCAACACCTGTTGGAGGTTACGGAACTTTGGCGGCCGTCCACGTACTCTTGGCCCCGGTAAACTGAGAACCGTGAAAAACGCGGTAAGAGCTGAGAGAAAGAGGACCCGTTGATACATGTACTGTCAGCATCCAAGTCAAGAAAAGCATCCAGACGAGCAATAATAGGCGACCTCGTTAAACTGGTGGTGTTAAGAAAGTTTAGATCACTCCCGTTCTCGTATAGAGCCATCCAGGACGCGTTGCTCGGGGAATCCAAGCAATACCCGGTCAAATAGTGGCGGCTGCGCATGGCGGCACGCCAGGCCTCCTCGATTAGGAGGCCGAAGACCTCTCGGCGCACTTCGTGCAGCTCCTGCCTCTTCCGATCGATGGCCTCCGCCACAACAAGCATTGCTTCCATGTCTTCGCTTTCCATGCTTTCCCGGACGTGCGTAAACTGCGAAGTGACGTACTAGAAGAGCTTCACCCTGCCTTTGTCCCATTCGAAGTGTCGGGTACGCTTCCATATAATGAGTTCGGTCTGTGTAGGATCTAGGTAGCGACATATAAACAGGACAAAGGTCTTTGAGATATGCCTCTTTATGGTATTTGTGGTGGACGTTTTGATACTTAAGCTCCGCATACATGTAAAGTATGACAGGCTTATCTGCTGCAAATATGACACGTGCTTATGCTATTTATGGAAGGCACCCACTGGTGCACTTGGCGCTGACCCGGGTCACACCACTGACCTGCCACTAAAATATCCTTCCATACATGTATTATGTAAGTACTCTGATTACCAGCTGCGACTATCTAAGCTGCCGTATTATAGTTGGCGTCAAGGGTGATGTCATCAGTGACCAATGTGTTGCTAGTAGCGCCCTAACTCGTGCTGGTTGATGAAGGTCGGGGTGATGATCCTTGGGAAGGTGTCCGAGGCCGCGATATAGATGCGGAAAGAACCATACCCTCCGCCTGTGGATACTCCGTGTCGCCCTATTTAGATGCTAGTGACTTTGCAAGTGCTCGACCTGTCCGGTGTTAAGTAAAGCCCATGCACGCTCATACGCTGTCAGTAGCTTCTCAGGCTTTTGTTTCTTCCGCGGCTTCGTCTGCCTTGACCCACCTGTACCGTCAACCCGTTGCTCTATTAGGTGCCTCCGAAATACTTGTCCTTCAAAAGAGAGCCTCTACTGAAGCAACCCGACGTTAAGAATATAATTATTATTATTACTTCCATGAGAATAGCTAGTGACCCGGGCTACCGCCAATTCCCTCAATGGTGTCGGAGCATCGTTGAACAGTCCACCCTACGCGGTCTCAATGATGAGAATTTAGATCGATAGTGCGCACCAGCTCTCATTTACCACAAATGAGTCACATCGAAACCTAAATGGCCTCGTTTGGAACGACAGAAATGTCTGCAGCTAATATCCACTCTCCTAGTCCAGCGATTCAGGCAGCGAAGTGGTCAACGGCAAACTTCACATTCACGCCAGCTTCATCACCGCGGGCAAACGTCACTTGATGAGACTGGCAAACACCACACTATCATCTAGATGATCAAGTGCGATTTGGTTATATATGCATGACGTGGACTTCTTTTCTTGCCCATTGGACGCTCGCAACTCGGCTTTAGGCAACTTCAGCTGTGGGATCGAGGTGTCAAAAGATCGTCCACGCAGCGTACGCAGGTTATATTGCGCTTTCTTCGCCCTAAGATCACGCAGTACACCACGTCGCTACAATCCAGACTTAAAACTGCAAAACCAAGCTGTCAATCCTCTCTAGCATGGAGACTAGCTTTTGCACAGGCGGTAGCAACCCAAGCTGGAGCTGCGACCTCCAAGTGGGCGCCGGGCCGAAACAGGTCGATGGCGGTGCCATCGTGGCCGCCAATGCATGCGAGGTGAAGCGCTGTGTAGTTATGTATAACGTTGATTCAGCCGTCCGAAGAAGAGTTTTGGTTTTGGTGATAAAAATGCCGGAGAACGGAGATGCCGATGAAAATGGCGACAAAGATTTCCTCTTCATTCGAGCCGGAGCTGCTTCCACTCTGAGTCAGATTCTGCTTCGTTGTTCTTTAGATTCAGCGTGTGCAACTTATTTGCTGCTACTTTGACATGCTGCGTTTGAAGCTTAAGCACTCCGGCTTATCGAGGAGCCGCTCAATATCAGTGTTACGGTGGATTCGCACTACTCGACGCACACGACGCCGCTGAACTAGTGATTTACCTGTCACTCCCCAAAGTGTCGCACCGAGTTTAAAAGCTCTCGTCATTCACATGCGGATTTACAGAATGGAACCACTCTGAATATTGAATGGAAAATTAGACGTTTTCCAAAGTGTTTTGAAGATTTGAAGTCCGAATTTGTGCATTACAAAACCATCATTATCCATTCACGTATGTGGGATTCTTCTGAGTATGCTGGCCGGATGTGGGATCAAACTGGGGTGAAAGTCGGACAGCAATCCCAGCGTTTTAGAAGATCCTGCCAATATTCTGGGAGCTTTTTCTGTTGAAATATGTATTCAGTTTGGGTTTGCGCGAAATTGTTTGACGAGCCACACAATATTATGTGGTGTTTTAGTGAGACCGTTCTCGAAGCCTCTCCCTTCAATAATCACAGGGTCATAGGCATGGCGCAAACTGCGCGTTAAAATAGGTGACGGTGACATTCCTCTGAGATGCCAATCCCACAGGCATGGCACCAGCATCGTGGAAGGACGTGGTCTAACCACGTTCCGTGAGGCGATGGTCAGCGTTAGAGGACGGTACAATTCAATTGAATGCAAAAATGGCTCCTGCAGCTACGTCGATGGTAATCTCAGGACGGCAGGATCACTGAACTTTATCACAACCATTGGTAAGGCATTTAATTGAAGAACAAGCGTACAACTTACGCGATATAAACCCTCTGTCATCTGTCGTGTTTGCGTAGAATACTCACAGCAGTAGCCCATTAAAACTGTTCTCTGTGGCAACTATAGTTGCGCTCAGTTTGATCGCCTATTGGCAAGAAGTTCACAACAGTAAGAAGCATACGGCGGGCCTACGCCAGTGTTGAATTGTACGTGAAAGTACCACGCTACCGAACAAATCTTTCAATTGTCCACATGATGTAACGAAAATCGGATAATCATTTTCGTGTGCTTCTGTTAAACAAGTCACTTGGCATTAGCGAGCGAAACGGTGGCGAGGGGTCCCTTAGAGCTCCACAAATAACTACTATGCCACGTCGAGCCGTACTGAGTGATGGTCGCTCCTCGGCTGCGCCGAGTGGTGACCATGGCGATGAAGGAAGTAGTCGTAACAACAGCTAGTTGCAGGGACTGTAAGTCCAGCAGGAGAGAAAACCGAGTGCTGCTGCTTGCTCTTGACGGCGCAAGTTGTCGAGTGTGTAGCAGCACATGAAAAAACCTCGGTTATATATATTCGTAGGATTAGCAGTAGGATGGGGCTGGCGGCTCGCCAGCCAATGGCCCGTCGAAGTTCGGCTTCTGGACGCGAGCGTCGCGTCCTGGAGGCACCTGAGCCTCCGGTTTGAGCTGAACGCAGTCCTGGCTCTTCCTCCACACTTCACACTCCCACTTGATCTTGTCGAAGCGCAGATTCATCATGATCACCTTGTAGAGCTTACCACGATGTCCTTGGCACCCTCTAGCTGCGCTGCAGCACGACGCTTCGTCCTTGGTAGCGCCCTTCCTCCTTCTTGTTCTTCGCATGCATGAACTGGTAGTAGTAGCTTGCATTCACGCATGGCGATGATGTTTGGCTCCCACTGAACGAGCTGAGCCTTGCTGACGGTCGATGTGCAGCACCTTCATCCCATCACGGCAATGTTTGAGCTTGTCCTTCGGCAATGGCTTCGTCATCGCGTCGGCGATCATGTCGTCGGTGCCAACATGGCGAATCCGCAGCTGCTCGTACTCCACGAGGTGGCGCATCAAGGGGAACTTGTTCATAATGTGCTTGTTATTGCTGTGCTTGCCAGGCTTGGCAGTCAGATAGATGCACGACTTGTTATCGCCGATAATCTCCGGAGTCGCGAACTCCCAGCATAGTTCTTCACAGAGTCCACGTAGCCACTGTAGATCTCTAGTACCTTCATTCATGGCAATATACTTTGCTTTCGTTGTGCTCTGTGCGTTGATCTCTCGCTTTCTCGATCCGTACGAAACCACGTTACCATTGACGAACGTCACGAACCCGCTAACACTCTTTCGGTCATCAGGGTCATTAGCATAGTCAGCATCGGTGTAACACGTCAGTTTGAAGTCGTTCCCATTAACAATGTCCATCACTAAGCCGTGGTCTTGAGCATCACTCAGGTAGCGTAGCACCCTCTTTCCCATAGCGTAGTGTGTGTGGTCGAAGCAGGACAGGTACTTGTTGAGATTACGCACAGCGTGCGCAATGTCCGGCCTTGAGGCTGAGACCAGATATTGTAGTGCACCAACGAGCTCTCGGTACGGGGGCGGGGAGTCACCTTTCGCATCTGTGACCACCTCAGCGCGCAGCGCTTCCGGTGTTGCAACCGCATTGCAACCCTCTATGCGAAATCGCTTTAGCACCTCCGTAATATGTTGCCGCTGGCAAAATACCGCATGTCGACGCTCGCTGTCGATCAGTATCTCCACGCCTAGTAGATACTTGACTGGTCCGAGAGATGTGAGTTCATACTCCTCACTGAGTCGCTTAGCAACCTTAGCGCAAAGGTCACTAGGGCCGAGGAGCAGTAGGTCGTCGACGTACACCGTGAGCAACATGGTGACTTCTCCTCCCACTTTCCTGGCGTAGAGTCCGTAGTCAGAGTCGAGGCGCTCGAGTCCGATCTTCGTCAGGAAGTTGTGCAATGTCTTGTTCCAAACGCGAGGCGCTTGCTTTAGCCCATACAACCTCTTCTGTAGCTTGCATACGTAGCGCGTAGAGGCTTCTCCAAAGCCTGGCTGCTCCATGTAGACCTCCTCGTCGAGATCACCGTACAAGAGCGCGGTCTTGACGTCGAGCTGCAAGATGGCCCATCCGCGCTGCAGCGCGTATACGATCACGCATCTGATCGTCTCAAATCTGATAACAGGTGCGTATGTTTCACTGTAGTCGATGCCCATGCGTTGTAGAAAGCCTCTTATCACTAGTCGAGCCTTATATCGCTTGATCCGGCCCGTAGATGCTCTCTTGAGCGCGTACACCCACTTGCACAAAATAACACGCTTGCCCTTGGCCTCCGTGCGTCGCACGAGCACCCAAGTTTCGTGCTGCTGCTGTGAGTTCATCTCAACTTGCATCGCTGCTTTCCACTCCTTCCATTTCTTTGACCTTGCCGCATGCTTGTGACTAATGGGGATCTGCACATCCTCGACGTTCTGCTTCGTCACATTCGTCACTACGTAGTCCTTGAGTCGGGCGGATGGTT